AACGGGTGGTTCCGCCAGAGGGTTCTGGTGCGGGGTGGAGGCCGTTCACATGCTGGGCAGAGGTTGTTCTCCAGCGGGCCGTCGGAACTGGTTCAGCCGCGCGCCGGGCGTACGGGACTTGCTGGAGACACGCGACCGACGACACGCGACCGGCGACGCGTGACCAGTGACGCGCGAACGGCCACTGGCGACACGGGCCGGCGTTGCCAAACCTCCCCGGACGAACGAACAGGAGGTGCATGGTTTTTTCTGTTTTTCTTTTTCATAAATGTGGTCCACGTAGATGAATTTCAACCAATGAAATTGTTCTTGTCAGTGCTAAGCTCCGTTGCTTGTAGAAGCAATTGTGAAAAAAATATAAGCAACTGAGTTGCCACGTAGGATAAGTCCAATGGCAATTTCTAACAAGCACCGTTGCTTGTCAGTAAGCAACACACTAAGAACGTGCCGCTGGAGGTGCTCTTACAAACAAATACATTAGAACAAGTAGTCATTGTTATATTTAATAAGACTCTTTATTCTTCCATTAAGAGATTTAATTTTCATTATTATTTTTGTGGTTTATGGTTCCTTAAAAAAATTAAAAAAAAGTGTGGTTGAACCGGTTTGACCCACTGGTTCACCAGTTAAACCGGAAAATTGACCGGTTCAATCCAGTTTGAAACAGATCGACTGCATAACCGATTTAACTTAAGATTCGGACCGACTAGACCACCGATTCCTGGTCCGACCGACCGGTTCGATCCAGTTTTTAAAATATTGCTTCTAACTATCCCGACCCCTCCCCACCCAACCACTAGGCTAACCCTAGTGATTTAATTAATATTTTAGTTTGTGAACATATAAATAAATATGTTTATTGTATATAATTAATGAGATTGAATGTTTTTATATTTGTTTAAAGTGTTTAAAAATTATTTGATAAATTGATTAGTAATGTGTTTCAATTTTAAGACTTTGGATTTGAAAGAGAAGTTAATTTTTAATATTATGTTTTATTATTTAAAAATTTAAAGGGATTATGTATACAAAAATAAAAAATCATTTTTATATATAGATATAGATATAATTAAAATTTATAAAAAAAATTATATATCAAAAATATGATATTTAATATATAAATTATATTTAAAATAAATATAGATAAATAATTTTAATCATATAAAATGTATTTTAGATTTATAATAAATAATTTTATTGTAACAAAAAATTTATTTTTATTTACTGATCATTTATTTTAATATATTAACATTTAATTTATAAATAATTTTGATAAATAAAAATAAAATTAGATAAGTTAAAAAAATTCCTACAAACATTTTCGTTGAAGAAAAGTTTCTCAAAATATTCTCTTGTAATATATAAATTCATGTTTAATA